CCATGGGAAAGGGCGATACAGTATTTGGAGTCATCTGCAATTGGGGTCTCGATCATCAGATGTGGCAAAAGGTTGGAGGGACATGATAATGTTTGTTCCTGGTGTGTGTGTGTCGACATGAGTAAGTTTAGGTGAAACATCTGTAAAATGGAGGAGAGGAGGGGCTGATGTTTGGGAATTTGGATCAATGCACTGAAAGTTCTCCTGAATTAGGAGAAACTTAACATGGGGAGTAATTGTGTGAACTTGCTGAAAAGAGAAGGATCATGATAAGAGGGAAGAGTCTCTGATCATTCATCTGAGGGGACATCCAGGTAAGACTTGGGTCTGGGATCTACCCCCCTGAGACAAGCAGGTTTAGGAATTTGAAATTCAGGGACAACAGAGCCAAGTTTACATTCTCGCTCTGTCATTTTCTAGCTTGGAGTTTTGTGGTATTACTAAAGCTTTCTGAACACAGTTCACCTCACTTGTTAAGTGGGTAACGCATCCATAAACATCAGGGAAATAGCATTATGTGAGCCAATATATGTATTTCCCACTCACAGGGTTTCAATTCATACTGCCAGAAATGGTTTCTCTTTTCAAGAGCTAGGGATCAAAGGGTTGTAATCCACCCCTGTTGCCAACACATTGCATTATTTGTCCATGCTGTACACTGATTTATAAACATTGATGTAGATAGCACTTTGGAGATGACAAATGCTTTCATATACATCAATTGTGAAATGAAGGCATGATCCTGCTGATGACAATTATGAAGACAGGACTCCAGATAGCATTCCACTAAGATATCTGAAGAAGTAAACTAAATTTCTCCAAATTAAATTCCTTCACTCTGCATGTGCTAAGGCTGTCTGCCCTGAGGGGATTGTGGGACACGACAGTAGACTTGTGACGTGTGTACTCCTGCTCCTTTCCTGTGCGAGGGGTTTTTAGTGCCTGATATGCACGATGAGAGTCATTGAACCTTCTAACAAGACGTGAGTCCCTGAATTGTTTCACCCGCCATTAAGGTCATTCCAAAGTAGCCTGGCCACATGTCCAAGGCCATGGAGGGCAGAACCAGGGTCAGTGTCCTGATGTTGCCTGAATCCCAAATGTGGAGCCAAGAGAGTTGAGGACGAGTGTGTCCAGAGGGTGGGAGGAGGGTATGGCAGGGAGGGTGGGGGCTCTAAAGGGCTGGGGCAGGTGCTGGGGAAGCAATGTGTGTGCACCTGACCAAGAATTAATAACTCAGAGATTCCAGAGTGGTGTCCTGGTTGTGGAGACAAGAATCCCCATGTGATAACTGTGAGGGTTTCCTAGGATTTGGTGTTAATCCTAGGAGTTAAATACTAACTAAACAATACTTCTAAACAAGAGGTCTAATTAAAGTATAAAACACTATGATTATCATTTTACCTGCAAAATGGGGATGTTACTGTCTTCCTTATGAGCAGCAGTGCCCAAGCCTTCTTACCTCTGGCCCTGGGAGGGGAGAGCTCTCTGTTTGTCTCAGGTCACACGGGTTGGGCAGGGTCACTAGCAGGTGTATGTTTGGGGATTCATGACTGGTGTTTCTAGCGATATTTTTAAAGACTGGATTTTAAAGATTTTCTCTTTCCTCATCTTTATCTGCTAGGTTCTCAGACTGTCCCTATATGAGACTACAGAGGAAGACAGGTGGGGGCTGAGGTCCTGACAATGAACACACATTGTTCATACTCCTGGACTGATCCGTCTTTGCCAGTTGGCAGGTTTCTGCTCTTGGCCTGGATCATCTAAATGCACCAGGAAATGTTAGCTCCCTGTCATTTACACTAAATGACTCATTTATTCTGGTCTCCATTAAGGATGTTCTTGCAGAGAGGAGATGTGAAAGACTGTGGTTTTCTCATCCAGCCCTTGGCCTCAGTGAGGAAAGAATTCCTTGTCTAACCCTGTGAGGGGCGGCAACGGGCTCCGGCCTGTGGTGGACATGGTGACAGAGATGTGTGAGAGCAGAAGCGCTCAGTCCAGCAGACGGGGAGGCAGATGTTTCACCAGGCGAGCTCAGCCAGCCCAGGGCGACAGGTGCTGGGTAGAGGCTGTGCAGCCTGGAGGCGGGAGAGAGAGAGGTCTGGAGCAGAGGGGACAATGAGGAATCATTATTTACTTTCTCCACTTTTAAACACATTAAAGTTTTTACAACATTTTGATAGATTCAAAAAAAGGTAAAATTCTCTGAGCAATCCCTTCCCAAACTTGTTCACAGCCACCCAGCTACCCTCTGCATTATTAACCTTTGTTCAAATTTGAAAACTGAATGCAATGTCTGCAGAGTATCATTTTCTTCATTTTGACTGTGTATTGAGGAGAAAGAGTGGAGTAAACGGAATAAAATGTCAGGTACTGGTCAGCAAAATGCAGCCTAGGGAGTACCCAGGCCAACAGACAGAAAGGAACTCAGGCTCTCAGTCCAAACTGAATCCTGACAATAGTCACGTGAGTGACTTTGGAGCAAATCCTGCCACAGTAGAGGCCACAGCCCCAACTGCACAGAGACCTTGAGGCAGACCCCAGCTAAGCTGTGCCCCGGTTCCAGGCCCACAGAGATTGTGAGCTATTAAATATGGTGCTTTATAAGTGCTGGGTGTTAGGGTAACGTTGTCAGAGAGGAGCAGAGAGCTAACAGAGTCCACCAGACCCAGGACCTGGCCCTACCAAGCACCCCGTCTCCTGTTCCCTCCTCCCAGGCTCCCTCCAGCCACGCTGGCCACCTTTCTAGCCTCCTCTGGTCAAACTCACTTCTCCAGTGCGTCTCTGCCCAGTGGTGCCTCCTCCCTGACATGCTGTTCCCAGACTCGTGCAGGGCTGGCTCTCTCTTGTCATTTTGGTCCCAGGAGATGTCACCTCAGTGAGGCCTTTCAGACCCTCCTACCCAGGGACTGCCCAGCTGTCCCTCACGCAGTCTTTATTTTAGGGTTAGCACTTGCTCTTTTCTTTCACGTGTCTCTGCTTTTGTGCTTTTGCCGTTCCTCCTCCAGTCTGTGAGCCCCTGGAAGGCAGGGACCACTTGGTCATTTTCAGCCCTGCGCTTGGGGCCGCCAGGGCCCCCGCATGGGTGAGTGTCAGGGCGTTGCTGCTGATGAATAAATGGGAAGCTCTGGAGCCCTGCCTTCCTGATTCTGACCAGTTCATTCCATAGAGACCATCACTAATAACAAGAGGCTCATGTGGTTTCTGAGGCAGGAGCCAGGTCAGAATCTAAAATATTTTTATTACAAATTACTTCTTGGTACCTGCATTAATTTCCTAGGGTTACCGTAATATTGTAAAATTGCCAGAAACGTCGTGGCTTAAAACACCAAAAATTTATTCTCCCACAGTTCTAGAGGCAAGATTCTAAAATCCAGTTTTCTGCAGGGCCACTCTTCCAACAGAGACTGTAGGGGGCACCCACTTCATGCCTCTTCTGGGTTCTGGTGGCTGAAGCTTCCTCAGCTTATGGCCACATCCCTCCAATCTGTCTCTGTCCTCACATCGCCTTCTCCTCTATGTCTGTCTTCTCATCTGTGTCTCTTATAAGAACACTTGTAGTCGGATTTAGGGCCCACCTGGATCCTACAGGATGATCTCCTCAGCTCAAAATCCTTAATTTACTTACATCTGCAAAGACCCTTTCCAAATAAGGTAACATTCACAAGTTTCAGGGATCAGGATGTAGACATATATTTTGGGGGCCACCATGCAGCCCACTACAGTATTAGAATAATTTCTAAGTTTATTGCTCATTTTATTACATTTCCCATATTTCACTAATTCTTATCTGTATTTCCTCTTAGTTCTTTCATTAATAAAAATGACAACAAAGAATGCACCCCTCTCTGTCAGGCATCTATTGTCACAATAACGTGCATAATAAACCCACTTCAAAACATAGCTTAGATGGAAAACAAAAAACAAAAAAAAATTGTTGACTGGTTTTTAAGAGTCTCTGGATTAGCTGGTTGGTTGTGCTGGTCTGGGATGGGCTCTGCTGATCTCTGCTGGGCTCACTCAGGTGTCTGCATTCAGCTGGCTAGTCAGCTGGGTGCTGGCTGGTCTGGAATGTCCTCTAAAGGGAGTGAGGTATATCTCCTCCACATGGTTTATTATCCTCCAACAGGCTGCACAGGCATGTTCTCATTACCGTGATGGAGGTGAAATAGATTCCCGAAGCACACACAGCTTCTTAAGGCCTAGAGTCAGAACTGGTACACTGGAACATTTGCCCATTCTATTGACCACAGCAACTCACAAGTCTAGCCCAGTTTGGAAGGGCCAATTGGCACACACTGCAAGTCACATCGCAAAGGGCACAGAAACAGATGGGCGTGAAATATTGGAGCCTCCATGCTACCCCTCTACCACAACTTCCATCATTAAACCAGGTATCTGCAACTTCTAACATGGTTTATTGAAATTGTTCCAAATGTCATTCTAGTTAAAATAGAGTATTCAAGCTTTATTAGCTTTTTAAATACATATTTTACATCTCATTTGTGAATGGGTTTCTCCTCTGATTTGACAAAAATATATTTTAGTTTTCAAAAGGTTGTTGTGCTCACCTTACAAGGCTTGAACTGCTTTATAATGAGCATGTTGTGACACTTAAATGATAAAGAAGAACTCAAGTTGCTCTGTATTCAACATATTCCACATAAGAGCCAAATTCCAAAAGAAAATATAAAATATTGCAAAATATTGAAATAGTCAACAACGTGAGGTACTGTGGTGGAAGACTTTACTCCAATGAAAAAAAGGACTTGAGCTGCACTTGACCTATTTTGTGACACTTTCATGTCACAATGATGCAGGATGAGTCAGCACAGTGGATAGTGGTCATCTTCCTACATCAGTTCTGAATAACTTAATACAGATGTGAGAGGAAGATGGGCACGGATGTTAGCTCAGGGCCAATCTTCCTCAAGAAAAAATGGGAGGATTAGCATCAGATGTTAGCTCAGGGCTAGTCCTCCTCACACACACACACACAAAATACAGATATGACTGCAAACCACAAAATCAGCGCTACTCAGCCCAATTTAATCATATCCCTAAGTCAACTTTGTTACTCTAAAGCCTTCTAATACAAGAGAACATGGATGTAGAGAAAGTTGAGAGAGAGACAGGAGTCTACCGATTATATTTAAAATTATTTGCAACATTTAAAAAAAGTCTCTGACCAGGTGAACAAACTGCTAGAGCCTCTCCCAAGGCCCTTAAGGGGGCAGGCAAGTGTGGGCTCCTGAGGCCTGAGCTTCGTTAGCTTCACGGAAAATGCTTATGATCCTGGTCTCTATGGGTTAATCTGGGGTCAGAGGAGTAGCCACTCAAGGCAACATGTCTGAATTTCCAGAGGACCGTCTCTGGACCTCACTGTCACATAGCTGCAGCTGGTTGAGGGATCAATATTACAGATGATGATCCCTGTGGGTAAGGGCCATCCCATCCCCCAGGCTTTCCTGTAACCCAGGTCCTTCCAAGATCCTTTGAGGAGGAAAGAACGGCGCCCCGACAATAACTGAGGTTGAATTTTTCACTACTGTGGGACAAGAGACTTCAGAAAATGTTTTCTGATTTAGAGCAATAAAAAAAAATGCAGTATTTCTTATACATAAAGTTTTGAGAAAATATTCAGATTATTTTTAATTATTCTTGTTATTATTAATGATAAGCAATATTTCATTATAAATCAAATTGCAGAAATATTGTACACTATATCTCTTCTTTGGAGATATGCAATACACAATAACATAGTTACCACATGTGTTTAACTTTGTCTAATCTATTTTTACTAAACTTATTTGATGCTGCACCAATAACATCTCACCAGATTAGTATGTGAAAGAACACAGAAATCAGAGTTCTAAAGAGATTATTTAAAGCCAGAATGTGTTTGTAGTCTCTGACTCTCTGGCCAAAAATCATTTCTCTTAAACCACACTCAATATCATCATCATACCAGCAAATAAATTTTTGTATATTTGGCAGATTTCAAATGTACAGCATGATCATTAATGAATTAATTATACTTGTTTTTAAGCATTATCTTTCAAAATGAATGGATGATGGAAAATCCCCCAAATTTTATAATCGTAATTTTATAAGCAGCAAGGAGTTCATAACATTATTTTAATTATTTTTCTAATTAGTTAAATTATTTAAATTATTGCAATTGAGTAAATCTAACTAATTAGACTTTTTTTAATTTTAGAAAGCATATAAAATAATTGTCTTCTGAGTGAGCTGTTTTCTTTTACTATGAGGAATAATGTGACATTGAGTTTTTCACACAAATGGATGATTTATTGTTCTTTATTGAACATATTCTCAATATTGCAGTGTGTTTAATTACTAAAAAAAATGAAGATTTTTTTTATTACCTCTATTGCTTTACAATGCGGTCTTACTTTTTAAATTGGCATATTGATTATTTTTATATAGTGATATATTTTTCATTTTTGTACAGCTTTATTGAGATACTATTTACATAACATAAAATTTCATCAACTGTAAGTATATAATTTAATGTTTTTTATTGATTTATAGACTTCTGTAACCATCACTATAATCCAGTTTTAGAACTTTTTCATCATCCTCCAAATTTTTCTCAGTCCCATTAGCAGGCAATTCTTACCCCAGCCCAAGTATCAAATAAATATTGATCTGCTTTCTGTCTCTATAAATTTGCTTCTTTCTGTAAATTTTATATAAATTGAATAATACTATAGATAGCCTTTTGTGTCTGGCTTATTTCTTGCAGCATGATATTTCTGAGATATGTCCGTGTTGTAGCCTATGTCAGCATTTCATTCATTTTCATTGGTGAATAGTACTCCATTATATAGATATACCATTTTTGTTTCTCTCCTCATTGGTTGAGGGATATTTGAATTCTCCCAGTTTTCAGCTATTATTGATAATATTGCTATCAACATTCACACTAGTCTTTGTGTGCACATGTGTTTTCATTTACTTAGGTAGATTCCTAAAAGTGGAATTGCTGGTAAGTCAAGTGAGAACATTCCAGCAGTGATGGAAGGCTTTTGGTTTTCACAGCCTGCCCTGCCTAGTTTGAACTAGTGAACCAACAGAGCTGAGAGGGGACGGAAGCAGCTCCAGGCAAAAACGCCATACACTTCAAACCGTGCTTACCTCAAGGTCAGCAGTTCTCATGAAAAATACTGCCCAGCTTGCTCAATGTCATCTCAAATTCCAGTGTGAAAACGGTCGATTTGACTGTTTTGTCCCATTTTATAGTTGCTTTTGGGGAGAGAATTTATTGACCTCCTCACTCCGTCACGCCAGAAGTGAATATCCAAAATTTATTTTTCAATTTTCTACTTACTTTGCATTGTTTCTAAATTTTTTTTCTAAAACATTTTTGATGCTCAACATAATAAAGGGAGCTGTTATTTTGTTTTGTTTTTCAAGCACATGTACGTAGTAGTCCAAAAATTAGGGCCAATTATATTTTTATTTTGTTCAAATAGATCATTTAATTTTAAAATCTATGAAAATGATGCATATTTTATAAGGTGCTACATAATCATTTAAAACTCAGTTGGTTGCATTGTGTATTCCACACAGGTGTGAAGCCTTTATAAAACCCAAAGCCCATTAATTTCAATCAGATTTTAAGTTGTCTACTAGAGCTCTATTTTTTGTAAAGCCTTGTCTCAATGTTATATGTCATTAAAACGAACCTACTCTCCCGGTTTTATTTAAAGAACACATCATTTCTGATGTGTCAAGGTGAAAAATAAAGAATGTTAAGATGCCAGTGTTGTTCTAACACATACTGGCTACGAACTATCAGATATTAGTCTGGAGACCAAGAAATAACAAGTATTTGAGTCAAGGTCAATAAGTTATCGCTAAGAAAATATCCCAGCCAAGACTAGGTGTCTGTGAGGGTCGGGATGCCCTGATGGGCTCTTAGAATGGCTTCTCAGTGGTAGTAAAAAAAAAAAATTCCCAAGGAAGACGCAGTCTCTTGAGCAGATGTATTAATTAATATTAAAAACGTTAGGTTTAATGTAATTAGCATATAGAAGGAAAGAAAATTTATACTGGGAATTGCAGGATAAACTTTAAAAACAAATGAAAATATCAAACAATAAAAATGCTTGTCCATAAATTTTATTCCAGGGTAATAATGTAAAGAATATCATTCTGTAGTCATGGACAAAGGAAGGACCATGGCGAGATCAGAGCAGAGCATGGTGGAGAGTGTGTGCTGGGGGTGAGGGTAGGAAGACGTTGTCTAACTATAGGACGTAAGGATTAATCTTAGTCACCATCAGAGATACAATAATAAAAAGGAGAAGTCTGTGTCTACATAGGTATTATGGTTCTAAATAGGAAAAAAAAAAAACCTTTTCAAAAATTAAACAAAATAAATTGTGCTATAAAATACGAATCCCACAAGAAAATACAAAAATAAGTACCAAGGGAGATAGAGGGAGAAATTAACATAGTCAAGGGAATTGGAGAAGGTTTCTCAGTGGGGTTGGGTAAGAATGGGCACAGCTGTTCTGCTGGGCAGCAAGGGGTGTGCCTTCCACATTTGAGTTCACACTGAGTGAACGTGCATGTCTTTTTCCGCTTTTGTTCCAGGCTCACAAGCTTCTTATATCTGAAATGCCCTTTTCCTAGGTTCTCTCCATTTTTTATGCCTGAATTCAGATGTCATCTCTGTAAAATTTTAATACGCTAGCCTAAAAGAATTTAGCCCACCTTATCTTCTCTCTCCTTTTCAGCCTCATCTCCCATTATTCTACCATATAAACCTCGTGGTCCCGCCTAATACAACTACTCACTACTCTTCACTTTCCCTGTTGTCTTCCCTTACCATAAGCTATGCCCACTGTGTGGTGTTTTCTTCCTCCACTTCTCCTTGACTTTCTAGCCTTTCACATCCTTTTAGTATCTTCAAGACCTATGTGTATTGTAAAGTTCTGCTGTGAAAATCTCACTGGGGGTTTAAATAGTGAGGGAAATGGAGCTGAGGTTCTGCACTGAAAAAAAATTTATCAGAGATATTTAAATAAGACAAATACTAGATCTATGTGTTTAGGTTTGAAATGTAAAATGTGTCAATCAAAACTTTCTTCTGCTCAGTGAACTCCCAAGCCTATCTAAGTAAACTTCATTAACACTGTTGACTGTCTCCTCCACACCAAGCAGTGTTGAGCCTTGAGGTTAGAGCAGTGAGGAGACAGGAGTGTGCTGTCATGGAGCTTCTGGTCCACAGGATGACAATGGGAGAGGATGAGGGTAGTGTGTGGTGATGGGGATCTAAAGAGGAACAAGCCGCTACCCCAACAGAGGCTACTTCCTAAGGATGCTGAACCATTCCAAGGAATTTCTTATGAACACATGCCTATGTTCTTTTGATTCATTTATTTTGTCTTTTTCTTCTTTTTTCTGCTAGTTACCCTAGATTATTATTTACCTAATAGGATTCACTTCATTTTATCCTTACTCCTATTAATATTTGTTTAATCTCTTAGTTGGCTTTCTATTTTTAGCTTATTTAAAATTGTATTTCAATTTACCTAGATCACTTTCTTTACATTCTTAATTTTATGGTTGCTTTTTTCTTAGTTGTAGACTAATTCCTTTTCTTTCTTTATATATCTCTCATTTTGAACTTCATCCCCTTTAAGACCATATATAATAATATGAACAAACATTTCTACACATATACATTCTAGTCTTGATCACCTGGCATTAGACTTACTTGTGCTAAGATACTATAGTATTGGGGCCAAGCTCACTTTTCCAGGAGGAAAAGGACAAAGCAGTTTGAAAGGGATTGCTGGGCCGGCCTGATGGCATAGCGCTTAAGTGCGTGCGCTCCACTTCAGCGGCCCGGGGTTCTCAGGTTCGGATCCCGGGCGCGCACCCACACACCGCTTGTCAAGCCATGCTGTGGCGGCATCCCATACAAAGTAGAGGAAGATGGGCACGGATGTTAGCCTAGGGCCAATCTTCCTCAGCAAAAAAGAGGAGGATTGGCACTGGATGTTAGCTCAGGGCTGATCTTCCTCACAAAAAAAAAAAAGAAAGAAAGAACGGGATTACCAAAACAGAGGTATGGTGGCTCTTTGTCCAACTTTGCCAGGACAGTCTTTATTTTCACCTGTTGTACCAAAATAATTATTAATAGCACCCAGTTCAATGCTCAAATATATCCCATTTGGACCATAAATTAAACGAATATTCTATCTGTAGGGAAGAAGTTGAGCTAAGCTTTGGGTTCTTCTCTAAACATGTATTGGCCAGCGTGATGTTGTGATATAATCAGAAATACATATTTGGTTTTCATCCCTGCTTCCTGGCACAGAAAACCCTTGGCATTTCCTTAGTGATAGTCTTGAGAGGAGAGTCTTTTGTTGTTCATAAGAAGCACCTGTCAACCATAGCTGAGCTCATGCTAGTTAAGTGACTCTTGGAGGATGGGGGCTGGGAGAGAACCAAGCACATGGTTAGAGGCTGGAGACTGATCTAATGACCAATGGCTAAAGAGTTAATTAATCATGGCTGTATAATGAGGCCTCCATGAAAACCCTACCTACAGGGATTCACAGAGCCTCTGGGTTGGTGAACACATCGAGGTGCTGGGAGGGTGGAGTGCCCTTCCCTCTACCTTGCCCTATGTACCCCTTCATCTGGCTGTTCATCTGTGTCCTTTGTCATATCTTTTACAATAAACTGATAAGTATAAATAAATGTGTTCCTGATTTCTATGAGCTATTCTAGTAAATTATTGAACTTGAGGAGGGGGCCATGGGAGCCTCCAATTCATAGCTGGTTAGTCAGAAGCACAGGTGACAACCTGGACTTGCTATTGGCTCCTGAGGTGGGGAGCAGTCTTGTGGGACTGAGCTCCTAATCTGTGGGGTCTGCAGTAACCCCAGGCAGTTTGTATAAGAATGAATTAAATTGTAAGACAACCAGTTGGTGTCCACAGAGAGTTGGAGAATTGGGAGGTATGGGAAACTCCCACACATTTGGTGTCAGGATGTTGTGAGAGTAAAGGAAAAACTTTGTCTTTAGCCAGCAAACAAGGAAGAAAAATATACCAAACTTTCCTGATCACACTTTTCAAAATTAAAGCTCCCTCTGGACATTCTCTGTTTCCATCTTCTGCTTTAATTCTTACCACAGCACTTAGCACTGTATATATTATTAAAAGTTTTTGTTACTTCCCTCTGGGGTCTAAGTTCTCTGAGGCTGGAGTTCATCTCTTCATCCACTTCTGTGTCCCCAGGGACTATTTCAGTGCTTTGCCCATAATTGTGGAATAAATTAATATTTTTTCTTGCTTAACTCTGATTCTTTCAACTCAGTTCTTTCTTAAATATGTTGTTTTCTTCTTGGATTTTCCTTTAGTGAAGACCTATTGATGATAAACATCCTTAGTTTGTAAAAAAATAATAATAACAAATATAATCACTCTTAGTTTGAATAACAGGTTAGCTGTTTTGACACATAATGTTTCTCAGTACTCTGATGACCTTTTTCCACACTGTTATGGCTGTTGTTACAAATAAGAATCTGCTATCAGTGTAATTCTAGGTGATATGTCTTTTCTTAGGTTGCTTTTAAGATCATCTTTTAACTTCTGGGATCTTCAGTTTCATAGGCATCTAAGTATAAAGTTCTTATTACCTGATTGGGACATATTGTGCCTCCTTCTCCTGGTTCTCTCATCAGACCTGAAACATTCTCATTCCTATGTCATCAGTTGTGCCTCTCCTCCTTTCCCTCTCTCCTCTCCTTTAAGAACTCCTAGTACAGGCATCTCGGCCTTTCTCCACATCTCATAATCTATCATTTTCCCACCACTTACCTCTTGGTGCTACGTTCTGCATAATTTCCATTCTGGACAATAATTTCGGTGTACTACTTCTCCCTTCAATTCCAATTAATCTGAACTTAAAACTACTAAATGTTGTGTTTAACTTTAATGCCCAAATATGTAATTTATAGGTATTTGCTTTGGTTCTTTTCCAAATCTGTCTGGTCCTTACTGAAAGAGCTTTTTCTTTCTCTCATTTTCAATTCCTTCTTTTTTCTATTTAATCATTTGTACATATCTTAAGGTTTATTAATTTTTTGAGTGCTAGCTGTTGCTCCAAGCACACCACCAATCTCTGTGCCATATATTCCTGGCAAATGTAAGTCAGGTCAGTCAGGTGTTTTGCGCTGAGTGGTCTCCTTGTGGCTATTTGAGTGTACAATCTCCTGCAACATCTTGGGTCCCCTCCTCCAAACCCATACTGTCCTCTCCAATCTGCCAGGATGAGAAAAAAGAGAATGGAGGGTTGTATTTTGGAAGTTTATCTCAAGTAGGCCTAGAAGTGACATACGTCAGTATTAGACACATTCCACAGGCTGGAACTTGGTCATATGGCCATAGCCAACCACAAGGGAAACTTGAAAATGCAATGACTCCATCTCTGAATCAAGGAGGAAGACAAAATCGGCTAGGGGAGCAGCTAGCCACTCTATGCCGCATAGTCTCCACCCAATAATTCTATTCTGCTTCTCTTGACAGATTAATCGTGAAATTTGTTTCTGTCCGCTCTGACATCACGGTAGCTTGCTTCCTCTTGTATTTTCTTGTTTTAGATTAAAAGCTTATATTTGGTGGGACTTTATGTCAGAAATCCTGTGTTGTCTGAGTTCTCAGACCACACAAGTAAAGTAGTATAAATATTAACACAAAATCCGAGTGAATGGAAGCATGTGGTCACAAAATGTCAGGGGCTATATTTTTTTCTACCCTCTCCACAGCCAAGACTGAAAAAGACAATATTTCTTTTCATTTCTTATTGAAGGTGGGCATTTTTTTTTTTTTTGGATCCACATTTACACAGAGGGCAGAGACCCTTTCAAAATCTAGGCTTCATGCCAGAGTCTGTTTCTCAAATTCCCACACGCTACCTCAACCCTGTACCTACGTGACCATTCGCACTCAAGCCCTTGGATCACCACTATCAACAAATGCCACCAGCACAGCTGAAGCCTCAGTACTCCCTTCGTACTGTGGTTATCACTCTGCAGACCTACCTCCTGTTGCGGTGGCTGCGTTGTTCTCACTTTCCACTCCAGCTGTCCATTTACTCCTTGCTTTTAGAGCTGAGTTTTTGCACTCTCAATCCTGAGAATTTCTGTATACATTTGCAATGATGTTTGCAATAGTCTAAGTGATTTGCCATGAGAGAATTTTCAAAGTACCTTGTCTTCCTTACTCCTGAAACAGGGTTTTTTTCCTCTTTTATCTTCTCTCTCTTACTTTCATGATATTTTAACAATTTGAATAACCATAATTTATTTAACAATGTTTAACATTAGTCGTTATGATTAGTCTCCTCCCAAGATACACAAGATGCTCATTATCTGTTACCTCCAATTACTTCACTGCCTCCTGTCTTACACAATTTTCTTGTCCATAATTTTTTATATCTCCAGAATTTAGGTAAGCCTTAATTGGATTTGCCCATGTGTTGAACAGATTCTTTGAGCCCCACTGCCTCTAGTATCCTATTCCTTCCTCCTAAATGACATCCTTAGTGAGGTTTTTTATGAATGTCTATGAGTGGTGAATGGTAGTTTACCTGGGGTTGGAATTCTAGACTAATAATTATTTTTTATGAACACCATGAATATAGAATATTGTCTTTTGACGTTTTGCTGATGTCAAGTTTAATGTCCAGCTTATTGTTTTTGTAGTTATCCTGTCTTTTCTCCCAGGCTGCTTATAAGCTCTCTCTGGGTCTTACGTTTCTTTGGAATATTTCTGGGTATAGATTTATTGTTATTTATCCTCTTTTGGGTCTGGTTATATTTCTAGGGTCTGATGATTTAAAATGATTCTAGAATATTTTCAATCATTTTCACATCATATGTTGCCTCTTTCCTTCTCTCAAAGAGACTCCACTAGATTATGTTAGACCATATAATTTTATCCCACAAGTATCTTAAACCTCACATATTTTTTATCCTTTTTCACTCTGTTCTGCATTCTCCTTAACCCTTTCTTTCAGTTAACTAATTCTATCTTCAGTTGTATCTAAACTGCTATTTTACCCATGCAATGTGTTTTAAATTTTAATAATATTTGTATTTCTAAAATTTTATTTTTTAAACCTACATTCACTGCCTCATGATATCTTATTTTTAAGATTTTAAGACTGTGTCCTAATCATTTAAAATATTAATTTTACTATCAATCATAATACTTTCATAAATTCTTAGCATTCTGAACCTACTTTTGGTTGACATCCATTACATTCAATCACGTTAGATTGTTTCCTAATGGGCCTTGTAATTTGGTATCTTTAGCTCATAATTTGTCATGCTTTATCTATGGAAATACTGTACAGCTTGTCAGAGAGCAGAACCAAGAATCCAGAAGTCAAAGCCGAGTGCTATGGGGAAAACAAAGCAAAAACAAAACAGTCCCCCAAGAGTAGGACTGAGTCTTCATCAGAGAACTCCCGACATGTACCTGGGTGGACTTCAGAATTGCTGTGGACAAATCACTGTTACATAACATTTTTTTCCATCTCTTTTTTTTCTGGTGAGGAAGATTAGCCCAAAGCTAACATCTGTTGCCAATCCTCCTCTTTTTGCTGAGGAAGATTGGCCCTGGGCTAACATCCATGCCCATCTTCCTTTACTTTATATGTGGGACACCTGCTACAGCATGGCTTGATAAGCGGTGCATAGGTCCACACCCAGGATCCGAACCTGCAAACCCCAGGCTGCCGAAGCAGGGCGGGCGAACTTAACCATTATGCCACCAGGCCAGCTCTTTTTTGACATCTTTTTAAGTGAGTGTATCAGTAGCAATTATCCAATGCCTGTAACTCCATAGATATGTATGTTTGGGAGAGGGGTGTGGATAGAGGGGGCAGAAAACTTCCCTCTTTGCCTCACAGGTCTTCATATCAAGAGTAACTGTATCTGAAAAACTTCATCTGACCTGGATCTGATTTATATTATGAGATCCCGGGCCTTGAGCCTGAGCCTAATGCTGTAAGGAAATAAGATTTTTGAGGGGTCTTGGCAGAAGGTAAGTATATTTTGCAAATGGGTGGACTATAAATAATTTGTAGCCAAAATGAAGACAGTCATGGTTATAAAACATGTCCAAAGATCCTTTAACATGTTTTTCATTGAGGGTCTTTTCTGTGTCTCCTTCCTTTGAATCTCAGCTGATATTAAATAACTCATTTTTAAGAAATAGAATATAGTGGATGTGATGCTGCAGGACTTATGCAGCTATATCATAAAGGGCAATGTTAATTCCGACTTGTTTTGCTAAGACACTTCCTTTTGGAACCTTGGGGCCACACGTAGTGGAGAAGCCCAAGTCACATGGAGAGGCCACATGTTGGTGTCCTGTGAACCCTTGCTGAGGTCCTAGACAACAGCCAAAATCAACTCACAGATATGTGAAGACTCCTCTGGTTGATCCCAGCCACCAGCCATGGAGTCACCCCGACCTGTCAAGTCTTCATAAGCCTGTGCCCCAGATATTATGCAACAAATAGAACACTACTACTGTGCTCTTCCTGAATTCTGAACTCACAGAACCCATAAGCATATGGAAAGGTGGTTTTCAGCCAGTAGTTTTGTCAGAATTTGTTATACAGCTATAGAAACCAGAATAGGCTTTGTAAATTTATATTTATACTGTAAGCTAAAAATTTGTAACACTTTATCCTGAAACTCTCATGTAGCCTGGGTTTAGAGTTTGTCTTGCCACAGAAATGTAATTAGTTTAGAATATAATTTTATGTCTATTTATCAGCTAGACTTTTCCTAGGTCCACTTGTGGTGTACATGGAAGCCACACAAACTGGATGGTACACATGTAGTTACAAATTCTTAGAAGAATTCCAGGTGGAGCCCTAGAAAAAACCATAAATGCTTGCTTGTAGTTTCCCTGTGTTTGTGGGTGCATATTTTAACCAAGTTTTGTGTTGAGGGTTAGTTTTATGGTAGGGGTTTCATTTTCAAACATTGACCCTTCAGGGTCCCAGTACAGAGTTCCTCTTCCTATACGGATAGTAACCCAGTCCTCTAGGTTCTAGAGGAGCTCCTCATCCGTCCTCACAGACCCGCCGATTAGTTACACGCCAGCCTCAGCATCCGATGCTCACTGAGCTTGTTTGGAACTCTTTCTTCTTTGTGGAAAATGAGGCGTTGAGCTTTCCTCTATATGACCTCAATTATGCAGGTACTAGAATGCTTGACGTAATTTGTCTTGCATATCCAGGTGTTTATAGTAGAAGGTTTTTCAGATTAGCTATTCATGCATAGTGCCATGCCATATTTTATTTTTTGTTATGAACAAAAAATAGTACCTTTTAGAAAATATAGATAAGCATGTGGAAAAAGATATAAAATTTTCATAAGTCAGACATCCATATATTACATTTTAAAGAGTTTGATCTATAGCTTTTCAATATTTTTTACTCTATATGTGTTCAAATAATGATAAATATTTTTATTTTACCAAAATAAAATCATACCAGACACAATGTCTTGTAACTCATTTTACTTGAAAATATTTTATGGATATATTACCCATGTTATTAAACACATTGATTAAATACTAATCATTTTTATTGCCTCTATTTTTTCCTATTGGAGTGTTTCAGAAATTTTGTTAGTCTTCTAATGTTGGGTGGTTATGTTTCAAATATTTCAAAATTAAAAGCAGATTTGCAATGATTATCCAAATATTTTCTGACATGTGGTCTATGTTTTGGCTTAAGGTACATGCTTGATTTATTTCCAAGGGCAGGTGGTTTTGTATTTTAATCAGGCATGCATCTTCATTATGCACCTCAATTTATATAAAACTTTTTTAACCCAGCTCCTAGCTTGATTGTCAAGGTAGATGTGCTGCTTTAGTCAACTGGAAACAGAATAGTAAATCCCAGATACTCTGGAGCTGGACTGTCCAATACAGTAGCCACTAGCCACCTTTGGCTATTGAGTGCTTGAAATGCAGATAGTCTGAATTGAGATATGCTGTAAAAGCTGGATTTTGAAAACTTAGTACAAAAAAAACAAGATAAAATATCTCATTAATAGGTGTATACTAGGTACATATTGAAATGACAATACTTTGGAATGTGGGGTTAAATAAAATATATCATTAAAATTAATTTCACCTCATTATGCTTACTTTTATTTTTAACGCTTTTTACTTAGCATTATGTAATAGCCTTTAACGAAAGAATGTACTCATGCTTGGAACAATATGGGACCACCGAAGGGCCAAATGGTGAATGAGAAGTTCCTTTTGATAGTGAAAGTGCACAACTTTATTTCAAGTGGAGACAAAAGTGGGAGTTACAAGCTGAACAGGTGAAATCCAGTTGTTTGTCTCTCCACCTGACGTTGGGAATGGTTCCACAAAATGGAGATGATGGTCTGACCCCAGGATTTTAGCAATTAGGAACTCCTTTATGAAATAAATGTATATCTAGCCAGGAAAATAGTCCATTTTTATTCCGGTCCCATGGATGTGTCTAGGAGATAAAATTAATAATAAAATGGTGCATTTATACATCGTTGTAGACTTTCAAAATACATTTTTAAAAGAAAAACTTAATGAAACACATTTATAGCACTTTTTTCATTTTTGAAACTTCCAAAAGTGACTGTTTTCAGATTGAAAAACAGAAATGAATTTGCCTCAACTTTTTTTACATTGTTACTGATGAGATCAGAGCTGAAAAATTACATATCTTAACCATAATAATAAACATTTGTCTAAATTTACCAAATAAATAGTTTTGCTATTATAAGATAATACTATTCCTATTGTTTCTTTGTCTCTTTCAAGATCACATATGTAGTTTCACAATTAAATCATCCCCTTTAATTTTGCCCAACATTTTCTCACAGAACACAATGTATTATTATCATCTATCCTAAGTCTACTCTAGTGCCTTAGTAAGAAAAACAAACTTAACAGCAGCAGCAAGGATCGACAAGTATATAAAGGCTATAACGCCTGGCAGCACGTTAAGCCCTCTGTCATGTGCTTGATGGGTGCATTAGTCACTCCATGTTCTCACAGAAACAACTTTACGTTTACAAATTTTCTGTAAATATTTACTTCTGTTTTCTGGTACAGTACCATTCAAACTGCAATACCTGTTTTCATAACATTTTCCAGAATGCCCAGGTGCAGTTTTTGAAAGCACATTTAAAAAAATGTACATTGCAAACTTCTATTGTGATCTTTTTTTTTGAAGTAGTGCACCTTTTATAAAGTATATTTAATTATTTTCTATTTATAAAAATATATTCTGTAAATATCAAGTAGTCTATTTAACATATGTATATATGGTGTTTAAATAGAACTGTACTTGACATTCAACAAATATATGCTTAATGAATAACTTTTTTGATGACTTTGGCAGACCCTAGTTGTTGGCTAATCAATTTCCATCCCCAAGGATGTTCCGCCTCTCCCATCTACCCACTATAAAGGCTAGAATAGTTAAGTCTCACTGTCTCAGTCTCACTGCCCTTAGAGGGGGTCGCATGACACAGTTCTGGACAATAAGA